ACATATATATATATATATATATAATATATACATATATACATATATATAATATACATATATATATATATGCATAAGTATGCATAAGTATGCCTGTTGTTGTGAACACTCGTATGGCTTTCATTTGCTCATGTCTTTATTTATTAGGGCAATTGCGCAGCCGTGAGTTTGTTGTGATATCTGTATATGATACGTTTTACTTCTTCTTTTGTCCGATACATTATTATACGCAGACGCAAACTCATTGTGTACTTCTTCATCATTCATATACATACGGACTATGCATATTATTACACACTGTCATACACTCAATGGTCACTTCTTCATTGTTTTTGTACATAGGGACTATACATCGTATTGCACTAAGTCACACACGTTGTCATGCACGTATCTTATCAATATATCATGTTCACATGTCTATACCTCGTCATGGACGAATCTTATCAATATATCATATTCACATGTCTATACCTCGTCAGGGACGTATCTTATCTATATACCATATTCACATGTCTATACCTCGTCATGGACGAATCTTATCAATATATCATATTCACATGTCTATACCTCGTCATGGACGTATCTTATCTATATACCATATTCACATGTCTATACCTCGTCATGGACGAATCTTATCAATGTATCATATTCACATGTCTATACCTCGTCATGGAGGTATCTTATCTATATATCATATTCACATGTTGCGTTGCTATGGACTCAGGCGAGGCTGTGGAAGAAGGATGTTCGTCGAGATCTGCTGCACCTTCAACCCGACGCCAACTACACGCGAGAGGTAAGCTAACTCCAGCAAACACCCATTGCACACTGTATATGGCATTGTATTTCTATCGTAGGTTTGTCATGTAGTGTATCGTACATGCGAAATACAGCGTCGTGCAGTATATTTGTCGTCTGATATGTCAGATATGCTGTGTGAAGCATTGTATATACTATATAAGCATCGTTTGCGCTATGTATAGTATCGTATACGATATTTGAAACATCGTGAACGATATATAAAGCATCGCATATGCCATATATAGCATCGTGTAAGATATGTAAAGCATCGTTATTGTCATACAAAGTATTGTACATTCTATATAAAGCATCGATAATGCCATACAAAGTATTATTCATTCTATATAAAGCATCGTTTATGCTATATATGGATACGCTATTTAAAGCATCGTATCGGATTTGCAATGCTACTCGCACATTGAGGACGGACAACCAATCTCTCCGTTTGTGCTATCAACTACAAAGAAGAGTGACGCCACGTGCCGTCAGTATTAGGAAGACATGTTGAGCGTTCGATGTATTCGGAAAGAATGTACACACGTCACTCTCTGCGTATGGGATGTGAACAGGTAGATCTGAACCCTCGTCTTCTCACATCCACTCACACTTCTGTGTCTGTTGATCTTGCTATTTGATTGGTGCAGATACTCCCGCCATATGCAATGCAATCGACACCAGTCAATGCGGTCACCACAAAGCTAGCCCACACCTCAACAAACAAAGTCAGGCGACCCACGTTCACATGCACTGTAAGTATATGTAAACATTACGCCTCGT